TACCAGTTTTTTTTAGATTTTCATAGGAAATTAATAATTATTTTAACCCCCCTTAATCTTTTAGAGTGCCTGTTTGTGTGTTGTGTGTTAATAAAAAAAAATGTAGAGACCCTCAAAGGAAACAAGACATCGAACTTAATAAGGTTGTTTATCACTATAAATGCCGATTCTTAAATAACATTAAACTATTTGCGTCTTTAAAATTTTAATTTCTTCATACCTGCACTAATCAAATTATTTATAACTTGGGGTACCTATGTATATTATTACAAATTTTTTTTTAGATCAACCTGTTTTCAAGTAAGCGGATACTAAAAAAATATTCTACGAAGACAAAAAAGTAGGGCTGAAATTCCTTTAAGAAAGCGAAGCTTAGTTACAATTAACTTAAACCAATTCGAACAAGGTGGTCATAGTATAATAGGCTTTACTTGAATTACGCACATCTAAAGCTAACCATCTTAAACTCACCTTTTATTTTCTAGTTCTTTGACTACAAATAATTTTTAAAAAAATGCAAAATTATCCCCAGGGTATAGTTCCTACATATTTAAAGAAAAGTTAAGAAACAAAATGAAATAATTGTTTGGTATACAATCTTATTTAATAGTTCTTTGTAAATATTAGAAGACAATAATTTAAGCAAAAAGCTGATTGAGAGGGGTTATATAATTTTTTAAAAATTTTTTATTTAATTATCTCTTTTTTATCAACTTCCCGTGGCAAATATTTTGCGCACATGTAATAACTTTTTAGTACTTATAAAGGTTTTTTCAATTTCATGTTAATACTATAGGCGATAAAGTTACTAGAATTTGTATTCCCTCTAAATTAGACCTTTTTAATTGGTCATTTAACTGTTCGCCGTTATCTTTGATACCATCGAAATTCATTTGTTTGTATAGCGTATTTTTGTTGTAACCGCTTAAAAAAAATCAAAACTAATATTTTTTTTTGTAATTAATCGCATGTGCAAATTTAAAATTCGAATATTGTGGGCAATTTCTTTATTTTATACGCTTATTATGTAAAACTACTTTAAGAACAAATTATATTGTTATTTCAGATATATATTCGCTTAACGTATATTAATTAATCCCTTATACTAGTTTCTCCCCACTGGAATGATATGAATTCTGCAACTCTCAGTTTTGTTTACAAAAATCTAAAGAAAATTTCTACTCATTTAACCAATAATTTGATTTAAAAATAACTCTGTAAAGGTTAACTAAATTCTTTAATATGTATTAAATAAAATGGTAGATGAGATTTATATAAAATTGGTAAAAAATCTTTAAAATGTATTTTAACGTATATGAAAGCTTTTGCCTTTTATATAAATTAATTACTGCGCTAAGATAACAAGCATATGCAAAAGTTGAGTTTTAGAGTAGCGATTAATCTCGACCCCCGAACTTTCATCTAATGGTAAAGTCTAAAATAAACTTTTGCGACTACTTGCAAATTTTTTTTTAATCTATATTTACTCTTTTTGTAGTTGAGGACAGCAATTGGAAGGCTTTTGCTTGTTTACTAACAACTATTAACCGTTTAAATTTTTTAGTAAATTATATATTATGTTATGTTTCCTTATCTTTTGCCAATTTATGTAGAACTCATATAAATTTTTTTGCTTTAGAATTGTGAAAAGCATAAGGATCATCTAATTACAACATATAGAAAATGAACTTTAATTTATTTTTTTATCATACCCACCAGAATAAGTCACAATATAATATAAAAGTATCTGATACTTGAAAATTAAATTAAACACATTTTATTTTTTCTTCTAAACTCGATTATCGGTACTTAGGCACTACTTTTTCAGGCTTGGGGATCAGTTGATCTAAAATGCTCTTACAAAAAGTTGAGGAAAAACAAGCGCTAAACCAAATGCACTGGTTCATTAGAAAAAAGCTGATGGTTTTTAATTATATCTGAGAAGCAAAACGTGAGCTCTATATGGAAGGCAGGGGCCTAGCCTTCCCTTCTTTCGGAAATTTTTTTTTTTTAAACAAGTAAAAAATTGGAAACATGCACCACTACCGCCCCTTCGCATAGGCAATGTTGTGGCCGAGCGCAATGGAGACAAGGCACACCTTTTACTAATCTTCTTACTCCCAAAATGCTCTCCTAACTGCCAACGGTGCGCTCCACCAGCTGAGCTTTCCCCTGAACTATGGCCCAACGAGCCGTTCAAGCTAGTTAATGAAAAACGAGATGCGATGGCATTACTAGTGAAATACTAAAAAAAATTTCAGTATCAGTGTTGAATTACACCATGCTTTTTAGTTAATTTAGCGATGGCCCTATGTTCCTTTACAACATGATGGAAATGGCGAGTGTTGTGATGCTAGCGAATGCTCAGAGACTGGAGGCTGAAACCTGTAAATATCAACTCAACCTACCGTGAGCGGTCGGCAAAAGGGAAGAGACTGCTGTACTGTGCCGTCGGAGGTCTTTGCCGAGTTGAGTAAGAAGGTCAGCTACACTAGTTTTCTCTCCTTAACCGTCCTTCGTGGCCTCTACAAAGTGCTGAAGTCATATTTAAAGGAAGTGCCTTCAGCGTGCGAATGAGCGCTGAGCTGCTACAATCGCTGACAGTAGAAGGCCCTTTCTGCCCTACTATCTGCAATCTATGCACGCAATGTGACCTTGCCAATTAATCCTTACACGCGAGTCACCTATATACCGCTGATATAAACCCCTCGTCTAAGTCGCATGCCTTGCTGAGTCAATATTACCGGGGCGCTATCTTGATGCACTTGCCGACTGGTGCCATGTATGAAAAGTTGCTATAAATGCGACACAAGGATCAAAGCGCTCATAATACCGAAAGTCGATCACCTTTTTCGAGTCTCAGAAATTTACGAGAAGAACGCCCTCGCTAACTCTTTTAACGCTGGCAAGCAGTTGTTGTAATTAATGAACGTTAAATTACAATTTAAAAATTTTAACGTTCCATAAATCTATAAATTATAATAATAGAATTTAACACGAAAGAATTTAGCCTCTATTTGATTTATTAGGTTCGAGAATTAGTTGTATATAAATTCTTTTTAGAGGGTTAACTGTACTTTTTAATTTATAAAACATATAACTGTAAGTGTAAAACGAAGAAGCTTTGAGGCAGTAGTCTAGAATTAAACAGCTAAAAATAATTACATATATTTTAAATTGTTTTCATGGGGCCAGGCTTTTTATGAATAAAGTTAACTTTCAGGTGGCAGGAAAGTAATAAATTTTTTTTAGACGCTAACATACTAGGGACAACTTTTAAAGATCTTAAATCTTTTGTCTCTATTATACCTAAAGAAAAGGTTGGAGCAGGAATGCCCACCAGTGTATTTTCTTGAAGATGCATAACGACTATTCCGAAGAACTGGGAAACAGGGGAATTTTTGGACCTGGACTTAGCTTAGTGTGGTGGAATACCGTCACAAACCAGTTCTGGGGTTCTTATATAAACTGAGGCCTGTGTACTAAAGTACTTATAGTAACGATAAATGGAACAATGAGGGCAGTTTTAAAAATAGAATTTGTGCAAGAAGTATATTAAAACGTAACTGGACAATGACTTTAAAAAAAGTCATCGTTATAAGTTAATTTACATTTCGAAACTGAATTATGATAAAAAAGCATTTATAGAAAAAAATTCCTTTTGCAAATATATCATATTTATAAATGAATGCTTTTTTAACCCTACAGTAGTCTCAGGGAGTCTCACAGCTCCGGAAACTATTTTGCTTTGTAAATTTTCAAATTAGAAGTTAAAGTTTATTGTGACTTGTATTTTAACATCTCAATAAAAAACTTGTTCAAAAATTTACAGTATTTTTTTTTAATATAAAAGTAAAAAATTAAAAACTCATAGGGCCCGAGGGACCTACCGCGACTGCTGTAGGATTAGCTTGAAATGTAAATGTAAAGATTTTATTGGCATACTTTAGTGCCAATATAGCAACGGCCAGAGGGGGCCATGGACTTTGTCGCCCCTGGCGCGTGTGACTAGTTTTCTAAAGGATTTACTGATAAAAATATCCTTAACTTATATTTTAATCAATATAGACAAAAATACAGTCACTAATTTATAGATGCAAAGCTCTTTTCATACCGCAAAAATGGTTTTTTTTTGAACAAAATTTTCTAAAATGTAGTTGATGCTAAATCATTTTGCTAGTAATTTATCCTTTACAAATATTAGGAAAACCTTCCTTCACAGAGATAGACCGGTGCTTCTTTTTTTTGGAAGTTGCATTAACGGTGTATTATTATAAAATTTAGAATAAAAAAGTTCAGTATGTATCACTATATTATTAGTCATTTTAGGTAAACTTGCCATGCCTATACTTTTGCTAATAATTACTTTAATATATATATATATTACAGTAGTTTAAAGTTTGCTTTATAATTATTTCCTCCACGCAATGTAATCTATTACCATATTTGTATATTAATTAATTTGTTAAGCTGCCGGAATAATTTATAATTTTTAAACCAAAAATTACTTTTTATAACGAATTTTAATAGCTTAAGCAAATTTTTAGGTCAATATTTCTTTTAAAATATGTTTTTCTTCCCTGGTTTACTTGTTTAACAACTGGGTCATAATTTTTTAATTTAATAATTTTTTTGACATGTTTTTCTTCTCTGGTCAACTTGATAGAAACTGGTTTATTTTTCCCTTTCTATTACAATATTTTCGTATGCTTCCTTACAAAATTATGTGTACGCATTCATTTATATATTGGATTACTTATATATAGTTAGCGATCCTATTATCGCTTGATAAATTTGCTTCTGCTCCCCCGATTTTTTTTAAGTTTTTACAAAATTTTGTAAATAGATTGATATGCCTATTTATTTTTGGGCTGCTTTTAACAATGGTATCAAAACATTAGCATAGAAAGGGCAGCCAATCAAAAGTTAGGCACGGTCGCAAGCTAATTAATAGCCTTATCACTACTATTCTCTACTACTCTCTGTGGTTCCTCCTTTCTTGTTGGGCTGTATAAATTTGTTACCCACAGCTCTAATAATAATTTATTTAAAGCATGTCAAGGTTACCAGCAGTTGTCATAGATAATGGAACGGGGTGCATGCATTAATTTTGATTCTTCAACTAAATTAAAATACTTTTATTAATTTAGGTTTACTAAAATGGGATATGCTGGTAATTCGCAACCCTCCTTTATAATTCCGTCAGCTATAGGTATCAAAGAAAAAGCTGCTATCGGTGAAAGTGCTCAACGCCGTTTAGGTAAATAACAAATTGATTTAATAAACTTTTTTATTATTTTTATAACGGGCGTCAGGTCAACCTTTTTGTTCTAACGTATTACTGTTGTATATAAGGTAAAGGTTTGGAAGATCTTGATTTTTTCATCGGAGAGGAAGCTGTTGATAACCAAAAAACTTATGCTATTTACAATCCCATTCGTCACGGTAAATTTTCTAGCCCCCGCATATCTACTTAACCCTATTAATTTTAACTTTTTGCTCAGGAATAGTCGAAGACTGGGATCTAATGGAGAAATATTGGGAACAGGCGATTTTTAAATATCTTCGAGCAGAGCCTGAAGATCACTATTTCTTGTTGGTAATTATAATAATTAAGTAAGCTAAGCTTACTTTCTCTATGTTTATTACATATGAAAATTCCTTCTACAACACAATAAAGACAGAGCCTCCATTGAACACTCCTGAAAATCGTGAATACACCGCTGAGATCATGTTTGAATCTTTTAACGTTCCTGGACTTTATATCGCGGTTCAGGCCGTTCTAGCCCTCGCAGCTTCCTGGCCGTCGGTCGAAAAATTGAAAAGGAAACTTACAGGAACTGTGATTGATTCGGGAGACGGTCTTTTAATAAAATTATTTTTACTAAATCTTTTTATTTAGGAATTAAAGTTAATTATAAAAGTAGTTAATAACATTGACTAGTTAGCTGGAAAAAAACAATTTGCAAATTAATTTTTTTTGGTTAAAAGTTTTACTATTATTTGTAGCAAATTTTTATTTTTTATTTCACGTCTGGACTTTAACTTAATTTGTGCTTAATTTTGTTAAAGAAAATTTTTTATGCTAACTTTTTTTCGCTTTAATTTTTAAATTTGTGAGTTAAGAGAATACTGGTTTATTAACTCTAACAAAATGGTTTTTAAACTTTTAAGTTGCAAAATTTTGCCATTTTACTTTTTACTAAATTGTTTATTTTTGAATCCTGAACTTTTAGAGTTGAATAAAATTTTATAAAATGTCCGTGCACTAATCTAAAGTTACTTTAGTTTATTAACAATAAGATTTGGCTAACGAAGAGTTTTTTAATTTTTTTCATAATCTTCATTCACTGTTTTGTAAGCGTCAGTAATTATTAATTTGAGAAACCCTTACTATATAGTTAATGGGTTATTCTTGATTTATTTCGTTAATGATCTTTACATTCAATAATAATTAAAAATTAATCTAATTTTCTTTAAGGTTTTTTTTCTAGCATTGTTAAATACACTTTTAGTAAATGAATATAAAAATATTTATAAATATTTAGAAATGATTAAACTTTTCCAAATCGAGCCTTGTTTATATTTGGTAGGCGTTACCCACGTGATTCCCGTTGTGGAAGGCTATGTGATCGGCAGTTCCATCAAGCACATCCCAATCGCTGGAAGGGACATAACTTTGTTTGTCCAGCAACTTCTTCGTGAAAGAGAACCGCAGATCCCACCAGAGGTATTCGCCACGTGCATGATAGTCCACGTGGTTAATATTATTATTACTCAATATGAACTCTTACTATATTTAAAATTCTACATTACTTTTTAACTTTTATTTATTTATTAATTATTAGAAAAGTTTATATATTTTTTTCTACAGCAATCTATATTTTATCTTTAGTGGCTTCAGCCTTTTGCTTCGTTATAACTTTTACTTTTTACTTTACTTTATAAGTTTATATTATATTTTTACAGGATTCCATGGAAGTTGCTAAAGTTATTAAAGAGCGTTATAGGTTTCAAGTTATAAATAAAAGAAAAATATTATATTATTACTTTCTACCTTATTTATTGACTGCAATAATTTACTCTCCCAGTTATGTTTGCTCTGATTTGGCAAAGGAGTTTCAGAAATTTGATGAAGAGCGTTCAAAATACATCAAACAATATGACGGCCAACATTCCGTTACTAAAAAAGTTATTATTATTATAGCTATTATAAATATTATTACTATTATTATTATTAAAGCCGTATGCAGTGGAGGTTGGGTATGAACGGTTTCTTGGCCCTGAAATATTTTTTCATCCGGAATTTGCCAATCCGGACTTCACTGCGTCCATTTCGAGCGTTACTGATGCGGTCATTCAAAGCTGCCCCATTGACACGAGGCGTGGCCTTTACTCTAACATTGTACTTTCCGGTCCTTTTCTTTATCGCTCGTTGTTTTTTTTATTAATATAATGAATATGTATTTTTCATTATTACTGGGTTTTTTATTTTTATTAGTTTATTATTTTTTTTGAGGGTAAAGAAGTTAAGTAATACTATTTATAGTGTTTTTATTAAGGAAATTTAGTTAGACAGTTAAGACAGCCGCTAAAGTTTTTCAAATAGTTTTTTTTTGGTTGTGCCACTTTTATTTTTGTTGATATGGCTTTGTTTTCCTTTTTAAAAGTCTCCGAGCAGGCGATTCTGTACAGAGTCTAATTTGTTTTTCATTTGAAAAGCTGATCGGTAATAAGTCTACTGATATACAAGAAATATTTATCTAGTATAACTTAATAGTATGGCCCCCTTAACATGCGTGTGCGATGACTCATAATTTATTTTGAAAACTTTAAAAATGGTAAAATATAATGAATTCATGAATAATAAGAACGGCGAACTCAAGTTTAACAGTGAATAACTTAAAAAAAAACTTTCTTTTTCTTTTATGCAGCTCCTAAATATATTTTGTCATAGTAAATTAAGACGTTCTAGTGATGTTTTTAATTGCCGAAAAAACGTTTGACAGTTGAAAAACTAAATATATTATACATCAAAGTACTTCAGTAGGCATAAAATCTGTAATTATTTTTTGTGCACTCTGCAGGAGGAACTACAATGTTTAAAAACTTTGCTCTTCGCTTGAAGCGCGATATCAGCAAATGCGTGGAGACACGAATCGCTATTTCTGAACAGCTCAGCCATGGCCAGCTTAAGGTTATTTGGGGAATAATGTGAAGTCTTGCATTGTTGATACCATCTCTCATTTACTAACCGTTATTATTTTTTTTATAATCTTTAATATTTAGTAAAAAGTAAACATAGTAATGACTTTTACGGTATTTTCTTCTGCAGCCGAAGCCCATTGAAGTAAACGTTGTCTCCCACAATATGCAGCGGTACGCTGTTTGGTTTGGCGGAAGTATGCTTGCGTCTACTCCCGAGTTTTATAAAGTCTGCCACACTAAAAGAGACTATGACGAGTATGGCCCTTCCATTTGTCGCCACAATCCAGGTTCTTCTTTTCACTAGCTCTTTTTCGAGAGATTTAATAGTTTACTTCCAATAGTGTTTGGCACTATGGCGTGATCTTACATTTCGGACACGGTTTACTATTATCTCCGTTCTGATAGGGAAGGAATAAAGACATAATAATATTATTATAATTACGAGCGAGAAAAAAGCTTTTTGATACTCAAAATTGTAATTACGTACTTCTAATATTGACTTATCATATTAAGCAAAAGACGGCTTAAGAGGATTACTGAATGTCTTCTTACCATTATATTTTTATTTTCCTATGATGCCTGGTTTAAGCAAGTGAAAAAAAACGCTTATACTTGAATGTTAAGCCGTCCACACGTACAAATTTTATTTAAAAACAGCTTTTTTGCACTTCAGCTATTCCTGTGGAACGCACGCTTCACAGCGGTTTTTTTTAGAAAGATTTGGTGTGAGCTAGTAGAATTAATCTACATAGGAAGCTACCTGAAACGGAAAATACAACCTTAATCTTTATTTTTTTACTACATTTGCTTGCTCGCATTTACTGTATCTTACTTTGAGCTAATATCACTCCTAAAATTGTTAAAAAATATTCAAAACAAAAGAAAAAGAGGGATCGGTTCAAGTTTGATATAAATTTTATAGCAATATAACTTAAAGATCAAAAGGTACTACTAAACACTGACGCCTATTAGGGCAGCTCCTGACCCCGCCTCCAGTTCTTTTATGTGTAAAGAAATTTGTAGATAATTGTCTATCACGCCTTCAATATATTACCAACGCTGTTTTACATGTACTTTTATATATATTAATATAAGCTTGTAAGCTACATCTTGAACTTAAACGTCCGTCTGAAGATACAAGACAGAAAGGCCTTTATAATAAATAAAATGAACTACAATAATTATAGTTTATTGCAATTAAAAATATGAATCTTCCGTAATCTTGTACCATTTGCTTGTTCAACCCGACTTTTATTATCTTTATCTACCAGAGCCTCCTTTAAGATATTAGGTACTGATGGAATGCGTATCTACGGGTAACAAGTAACTCCTTGATGCAAAGGAAAAGTTTATTTATAGATAAAAAAATTGTTTTATTAAGTCACCTTGATTTTATAATTAACAAATTTCGTTTTACGCATGTAGACTTTTTTGAAAAAAAAAAAAAACTCTTTAATACGGGATTGTAAGAAGTAACATCAAACTACGTTATTGGCTAGTGCATTGTTTCCTAGTAATCAAGTAATTCTACAGCATGCTTACTGAACAAGTGCTGTATGCAAAAAAGCCGAAGATAGTATATTTCTTTGAATTTTTAGTTTTTTTAATAAGTTGCATTCCTGCATCGACAAGATTATATCTTGTAGAAACTTCGTTTAGTTTTTCAACTTTTACGAAAAGATTATAAATATTTTGAATTTATTTTTGGACATAGAAAGAACGACTTTTTCAGAGATATGATCTAGTCTACGATGCCAGACATTGCAATACCATCAAAAAAACTGTATTTTTCATATACCTGTATCAAGAGAGAAAGGGACCATATCCTATCGTTCCCACTAATTAAACTAGTTTTATCGTTGTTAAACTGGGACAGTAAACCCATTTTCTATAAGCTTACCAACCGACAAGATTAGCCTTAACGTCTTTGTAAAAATAGGCTTGTAACCTTGAGTCCGACTATATTAACAACACCTTTATAGGTCGCACCTATGACGTTTCCGTCGGCTGTTGTAGTGGGCGTTAAAGTTGACGTTATAGGGGTTAATAAACACAAGTCTTTAAATAAAAGAAGCCTCGCACTACTATCCACTACCAATAGTTTTACGTAAATCACGGAAGGTTTGCTTCTAGGTGATAGAGCTAGTTCTTTACAATAATCAGAGCTAATAGAAGAAATAAGCGTTAGTAAATTTATACTTACAAATACAGTTATTAGTGAAGTTCATACAACGAGGGCAGCGCATTCAACAATTTTTGTAAGAGGCCCCTTCGTAAACAAAATTTATATTTAGGGTTTGACGGACTCAGAGAAATTGTTCCTTGAAAGACTAATAGTATCCTGTTCCTTTCTAGTTAGGCTTCGGGGACGCCATAATACTGGCCTTCAAAACCTTATCTTCTACAGACATCTTTAATTTAAACTCCTTGTCTAGTATGAATGCAACGGCAGCTTGAAAAGTATTGTTAATTTGGGGCTCTATCATATCACTAACGTTGCTGAATCCCTCATGAAGCCCTCTCAAAAAAAAAGCGGTTAACATGGCCCACGTCAGGAATCTTTTCCCCGGACAGGTTGCTATACTGGCGGCCAAACTTTACAAGTTTGTAAGTTATTTAAGATTTTTTTTAGCAACAAAATGTTCTGAGTTGAATTTCGCTCATATTCATTTGGTAGCGAGTCCCAGGCTTCGGCAGGAGAAGACGTAGTAATTACGTGGCGGATGAAATTTGGCGTCATGTACAACGCCCGAATAATATGTGCCTGTAAGTTTTGACTGGAGATATTGCCGGATCGGTTAAAAACAGGGCCTTAAGGTAGGTAAACTTAATCAGTCTAATTCGGAAGTCAAGGCAAGAAATCTAGCTTTAAATTTTTCTGGCCTTTAATAAGAGATTGTTACTCTCTAAGCCGTCAGTGTAACTAAAATCACTTATTTTGTCAAGCACAGTCAGCGGCGTTCTGGTCAAATCTATAGTTTAAGCTAGTGCACTGCAGGCGAACGACCGTATTGTGCTAAATATTCAGGCATACTTTCAAAACAAAAAAACAAAAAAATGTAGTATTCAGAAATCTATGGAAGGCACAAACCGCCTTAATATTGAAAAAAGCCCTCATACCTACTTTTTAAAAAGCTATTTTGGAATTAAATAAACAATCACCGTTAATTTCATTAATATAACAATTGACACGGCATCGCTCTCTCTAGAAAATGTCTTTGACAAAAAGTTGAATGCCTTACAACGACTACAAATAAAATTCATGAAAACTGGCCGGAACTGTATGGAGGTGTAAAAGTTCAAAGCCCTTCTACAAAAGTTACTCACACTATGCAGTGCTAAGTAAAAAAAAAAACTAAAAGTAATATTAAACACTGTAAGTATTTTTAATGGCACGGTTAAACAGAGTCAACAAAGCAGTTAGCTTGCTTTAAACAATTTCTATATAAAAGAAATTAGTGAAGTAGTAATATTATAGCGCCTGCACTAAAATAGCTAAGCTTGTGCTGCGTCAACTAATTTTTCCATAGAATTCCATAGCTCCTCTCTCTCTTCTTCCTCAAAAGTTTTCTGTAAAAGTTCTTCTGGTCCACCATTGCTTTCAACTAAAAGCCGGCCTTCACTACTAAACAGAATATCGTTCAATCTTTGCTTCAAGTAAATCTTTGTTTAAAAAATTTTTAATATCGATCTAAAGTAATAAATTTAATTTGAAATTTTTTTTAAATATCCCAAACTATCGACGTCTTCCCAACCAGAACAAATTATTATTTTTAAACCACATTTCCAAATAAGTAAATTTAATAACTGTTAAGATATAAAAAAAAGCAACTCTTTCTAAAGGGCGTCCGTTCGCTTGACTATATAAGCTCAAGTGACGATCTAATCCTGCGGAGACTACGTAAGGGAGCTCGGGATGCTTTGCTATAGCACTTTTAAAACAAAATTTAAAAAATATGACTAAAGTTTTTTTTTAATATATATAAGTTAAACAAAAAAAAAAGAAAAGATATAGGAATTCATAATAAGAGGAGACCGAATTGATCCCAAAGAACCTCTAAATCTTGTTGTTAATAGCACTTTTGATTTTGACCGAAATTCAACAGTTCTCATGTAGCCTCCGCTGTTACCAGCGATGATTTTATCTTCAGATAGCTTAGAAATAGCTGCAAATGAGAGAATGTTGATATTGGAAAAATATAATCAGTATAAAAATAGGGAAGACCCGTAATGGGGAGATCTCCAAAGTTTACGCGTTGCACAGGCTTCCTCTGAGCGCGTGTATCATACCTTCGGATCTGCATGAGGAAATTAGTAAATCTATAATTCTTAGAAGAGAGCATGTACTTCATGATATCCTGTGCCTACAGCCACATGATAACCAGAATCATTTAAAAAAATTAACCGATTTACCCAAACAGGACATCTTAAATCCACCGAATCGTTAGAGATCTGAAAATATTTTAATAATAAAATAAGTAATAACAATAAAAAAAACAAACGTTTTTCGCTTTAAATAATGGCTTATCAGAAGTTAGGTCGTATAGATGAAGATCAAACTCCCTACCTTTTTAAAATTTAGATGTGATCAAAATAAAAATAAAGATAATTAAACCTCCTATGGCAATAATAGATTTATTAGCCGGACTGGTATGCACACAAGACACCGAGGCATTAAAATTTTTTTTACACTTTATTTTTTAGAAATAAGTTAAAATAATATAACTATAATGAATTGTAAATGCCTTACAGTTTCCTTGCTTTCGTCAGGAGCATAGTTTACATAGCGGATAACACCATCACTTGAGGCTGTAACAATGTAACTATGATTTCATAATTTATGTATAAAATAAATGACTATATTGTGTTATTTTAAAAACCTTTCTATTCCCTCTATAGATATAAAGTTTCCATTATGTGTATAATCTTTCAAAGTTGAAACTACATTACCATCTTCGACGTCAATTATTTCAACCGTTTTGTCTGATGTGGCAACTAAAATCTAATGCGCAATTGGACGTAGATGTAAAAATTCTGATAGTCCAAGAACAGATATAAGTTGTAACTTCTTTTTGTTCGTTAACGTTTCCCCAAGATAATTTTTCAATGGCTTTCTGACGATTCAAGTTCCTCCAGGTAGACACTACCCTCTTCTTTTCCAAACATATCCCTATTATATTAAAACTGGAAGTTACATAAACAAAAAAAAAAGGAAAAAAAACCTTTTAAAAGACCAATACTATCTCCAGTGAAGACTTTCATATAGTTTTTAAATTCAATACTAAATTAATAAAAGTCTTTAAAAAGGAATTAATGCTTAAAAGCTGACATGTGCAAATAAGAGCGTGCGTCTTAGTAGCCCTCCTCTAACTATTGCTAATGTATTGACAAAAAAATGAACTAGGAAAAAACTTTATTTTTATAGTTTTTGAATAACATTTATACATAAAAACAAATGTATTTTTATTTATTTAAAAATGACTACTGGAATATGTGACGGCAAAACACTATTTTTAAAAGATTTGCCTAAAACTACCTCTGCAGATCTTTTGGAAAAATTGATGAGTGATTTTGGACCTGTTAAAAAGTGCTTTATCGTTACCGACAAAGAAACGGGCTTATCAAGAGGCTTTGGTTATGTTAAATTGTAAGTTTAGTTTGATTAACTAAGGATTATTTAATGACTTTGGATAAAGCTCTCTTAGAGAAGATGCTTCAAAAGCCTTGGAGGCGGCCAAACACCTTTTAATAGACGATTGTAGGATACACGCTGCCTACGCATTAAGTAAAAAATACAAGAAAGCTAAAAAAAAATCGAAAGAGGATGTTAGGGTTAGACGAAAACATAACATCAAACCTTTAAAAGCTGGCCATCTTACCGATGTTTCTAAAATTGTTTGTAATAAAAATGTGAATCTTGAGTCTACTTGTGAAGGGTAATTTCCTAATAGCAAAAACTATATTATTATAACCTTCTATTAAGAAAAGTTTAGTGAATTACAAAGTTTAGCAAAGAGAATAGCCTGATAACTCTAGTTATAACAGTGAATGATTATTTTATATATAATGTAGTAATGCGAGGACGTTGATTATCCATTCGAGAAATTTTATTCCTCGACGGACTTTGAAAAATAAGTTAATGAAGTTTGGTAAAATCAAAAAAGTAGTGTATCAGAAATCTGATGACTTCAAACTTCGGGGTATATCATTTTGTTTTTCCAAATTTTAGTTTTTTTTGATTTATGATAGCGGAAGTTCTTTTTGAATCTCGTAAGTCGGCGCAAACTGTTTTAAAAAAATTAGCGAGTTGTAAAGTAAAGGGTCAAGAAGTTGTGGCATTTTTAAAGTCACGATATCTGGTGAGATTTAATACATATTAATATTAAGATTTTTTATATTAATTATACCCTCAAAATTAATTTAATGTTTTCTTTGGAAATCTTTATTTTTTAGTATATTAATAATTAGTTATGCGCTCCTCTTCTTATATTTTAGGATTATTTATTAAATCATTATTCAAGGTCGATCCTTTTTTACCTTTAAAGTTTACTTTATTACATCTCTTTGTACTAAATAAAATTTATATTTTATTTAATTTAATTTTTTTAATATAATAATTAACTTTATACAACTGTATGACTCCTACTTAAATTTTTATGTGTTCAATTTATCTTAAAATTTTAAAATATCTGCTCATCTGTTTTTTGTATTACTTTTTTATTGAAGAAAGCTCTTCAAATTTTGGAAAAAAAGCGGTTTAATAAGAATGCAAGAATTATAATTAGGAATTTGAGTTTTCAGGTTTTATTTTTATAAAGAAAAATTTACCTTGTTCTTATTGAAATAATAATATAAGGTTATATTTAATACTTTTTTTGAAATTTTATTATTTATATTAAATTATATATTCCTAATAAGGAAAAGTTTTTATACTCCTTTTTAAATTATTTCCTGTTATTAATATATATAAATTTATAGAGCGACGTATTTTTATTTCTAATTTTTTTAATTATTAAATAATTATTATTAATTTATATATATATTTGTTTTGCATAGTGCACCGAAGTAGAATTAAAAGATTTTTTTTCAAAGTTCGGGATGGTTTTACAAGTCGAGTATCCTCAAAAAGATGGAAAGCCGCGGGGATTTGCATTTATACAGTTTTTAAAAGAAAAAGAAGCTCAACTTGTAAGGAGTTTTAATTCTTAAATATTGTCTTGAATTTTTTTTAATTACGTTATTTTTGCTTAGTTTTCTACTTTTTATTTTATTTTACTTTTATATAATAGATTTATATATGAATTCTTTAAGTTATTTTTTTAAGGCCATCAAAAAGGTAAACGGAAGTTTTATTAAAGATCGACCCGTTGCAGCCGATTGGGCTCTGGCCAAGGACAAATTTCTGCGGGAGATTAACACTCTTGCTGAGAATCACTGCAGCGACAACGGAGTCGAAGAAAATGTTGTCATAGATTCTGCTGATCCAGCACTTAAAATTGAATCTTCTGAGGAAACTAAGGGAACTATTGAAAGTGAAAGTTCCTCAGAGGGAGACTTAAGTGATTTGGAAGATTTGGAAGATTTGGAAGAGAACCCGTATCCCCAAAGTTTTCTTTATATTTCTTTATTAGTTTTTATCAGTAACTATTTTCATTAAAATTTGAACAATTTTGTTTACTTTTCTTTTGATTATAGTTTTATTCTTTAAATTTATTGTTATAATTTTTGTGTACTCTAGTTAATGACGTCAGCGAAGGCAGAACTGTTTTTATACGCAACTTGCCGTTTTCTGCAAGTAATGAAGACTTGTTCAAGTGGTATTCCGGCTATACGCTATATAATTTTCTAGCGCGTTTTTGCTACTCCATCTTTTATAAATCATATTTTTTCTAGCTTTGAGAAGTTCGGAAAAATCCTATATGCGCGAGTCGTTGTTGATCCCGCCACTGGGAAATCAAAAGGCTCGGCCTTTGTGAAATTTCAAGATGAGACATCCGTCAAGCGGTGTCTCGAGGCTGCCATGTGCGCTGTGGTGGATTGGCTGATAAACTTTTACGCATGCACTACCACGTGGTTATGCTTAAAAAATTGACCGCAGGTGATTGGCAAGGCGACCGAAGGCGGGATTACACTTTTGGGACGATCACTTCTGGTCACGTTGGCTGTTGATAGGCTCGTTTTTTTCTTTTATTATTTTTTATTTGTACTTATTTCTAGTTCTTTAGGAATAAGGCAAGTAAATTTTCTCAAGAAAGTAATTTAAACAAGAAACCTAAAAAAATTAAAGATTTGCGAAATCTCTACTTGGCTAAGGAAGGATGTCACTTGTTTATAAAGTCGTTTTATTATTATTTTTATTGGTTTGTTATACTTTTTAGATATTGAGCCAGGAAGCAAGGCGTCTCTGGGTGTCAGCCACTCAGATCTCGCTAAGCGCCGTAAATCTCAACTGGAAATTAACCTCAAGTTAAAGAATCCTTCGTTTATGGTTTCAAAGGTTTTCTATATCATTATTACTATTATTCTTAGTATTGATAAAGAGATCAGTTAATAAGTCATTTGTTAGACGCGATTATCAGTCCGGAACATTCCGCTTCACGTCGATGAAGTTCAACTGCGCAAAATATTTAATGAGGCCGGAAGGACGGAAAGTTGTGTCCGTCCTGTTAAAAAGGTTTATTATTATTATCATCATTATTTGGGGTGTTGTCATTACTTTTTTACTTTTATCAGGTCCTTCTCTTTCGAAACAGAGAACGTCTGGGGAAGGACAACAGGCCCCGCTCGTTGGGTTACTGTTTCATAGAGTTTAAACAACACGATTCTGCCCTGAAGGCACGTGCTTGTTGCTAGTTGTTATTATTATGATTATGATTATTTATAGGCACTCCGGCATTTAAATAACAATCCCGAATTTTTCAGCCCCGAAAAACGGCTGATTGTGGAGTTTGCACTTGAAAACCTGAATAAAACAAAAAACAAAAGCGATTCCCTTCAGCCGAAAGTTTGATTTATATTGTCTTGGTTTGTCTTTTTTTTTAATATTTTTATGTTAGAAGAGAAAGAAAAAAAGTTTGGGCGAGCGGTTTCAGGCAAAGAGGAGAGCAAAGGCACGCGGAGATTGTGTTAAAAAGGAGTTAAATTGCAAGCAAACAACTGCGCAAAAGTCTATACGTTCCGATAAGGGCGCTCTGTTGCCCAGTGTACCCGCCAAGGATCTTACCAGGAAGAAGCCCGTTATGAAAGTATTGTTATAGTATTTTTGATACTTAAAGAATCATTTTTTTGTTATTTTTAAGAAAATGATTGACCAGGAAGCCCATTTCTCGCGATTGGTTGGTAAATATAAAAAACTATTATTTGGCGAGCAGAAAGAACTTCAAAGTATACGAGAAAAGAGGCGAAAATGGTACGAAGTATAATCGCCCCATTTTTGATATTTTATTAATAAAATGATTGGCTTATTATTCACTCGTATATTTGAAACTTTTTTAAATGATCGAGTCTTTTGTTTCCCAATGAACGAGACATCCGGCCTTCCGATGGCGGACTTCTTGCCTTCCTGTATGTCGCAGTACTTGAAGAAGAGTGACAAGAGAGCCTAATTCCTTTTTTGTTCCTCCTTTTTTCTATGGCGGAAGGTCGGATGTCGATTATTTTTACGTGCACTCTTTTGGCCTTCACATCGGAGTTCTTTTGGTGCGTGAGCGCAGTGCTATTCAAGGAAGCTGTAAGCGGTGTACCTGAATTTTCTCGATGCTGGCGGATGAAGCTGACTCTTGGCTGTAAAAAGGAGATGGCATTGGCCGAAAAACGACCTTCCTGCCGTCCTTGCCTTCAATAATGCGCCTTTTGTTATAGTACTTCGGATCGCCTTTAGTTAGCGGAATAAAACACCCGCAAAAGTGTAGAAGCAAGCAAGCATTCCTGCTCGGAAGTAAAACTCTCGAGGCAGTTCGACTCGGGAGGACAGAGCGGCCAGACTTCCCTGATTCAGCGCATTCTGAAAGGCAGATGAGAGGGCCTCTGTGAAGACAAGAAAGGCAGTAGGAGTACGCTAATCTCACAGGCAAGAAGGGCGCTTTTCTTGCAGTAGAAACAGAGAACTCTTCCTGCAAAGCAAGTGAAGTCGGATAATTCTAACCAATAGTAATAGAAGTATTCGACCTTGTGACCGCGCCCTCCCCGTCCTTCCGACCCGATGTACCCACTCCTCCACGCTTCTTGGGAAGTCGAACAGGACCACTTGAGCCTGTCAATGTTTTAGTAAAAATCAAGCTGCTCTCCTCGTAGACCAGCCACTCACGTTTACAAAGTCCAGTCCCCTTCCCAGAGAGTCAGTAGCTACAATAACGCCGCCCTCCTCCTTAAAATTCTGAAGAGCCTGCCTTCTTTGCTGCAACACAAACAGACTGAGCGCACTATATATTTTGCAACGGGGGGCCATAGAAGTACAGTGTACAGGAGGCTACCGTTCCAATAGGAATGAGATATGCGGCTTTTGCTGAGAAGCGATGAGAGCAGCGCGGCTGTCCGCAGTGTGTTGCAGAAGATAATCGTTTTGAGGTCTCGACCGCCCTGAAGAAACCGCAGGAGGTACTCTAGACAGCGGCAGGCGCACAGGTAGAAGACTTTGCTCCGCGGTAAAATAGTCAATGCGCTACCTACTCTTTCTGTGCTGTTCGCCGAGTAGCGTACAAAAGTGTACTTCACTCTGTAGTTGGCGAGGTTCAATGAATCAGATATAACATGAACGGACTCCTGCGAATTGCGAGAGAAGAGTTTAGCGTGTTTTAGCAAGAAAAGTATATATAAAAAAGAAACCTTCATTCGTGGAAAACGGTGATATAATTCATTGCAAAAAGGCTTATAAAAAGTTGCAGTAACAAACACAGCTTTAACACAAGCGCTGTTCTTACCAATATACGTGGAAAGAAAGAAAGGTTTCATAATAATACGCATAAAGCACACTAATTAAGTGCAAAGTCAGACCCTTTAATAAGGGTGAATATCTTCTGCATAACACGTCCAAAGTCGTCTCTTATAAGAGAGTCCGTTTCATCCACAACAACGTACCGCAACTTCGCAAACGGCTTGAATGCTAATCATCCTCATAATAATAATGAGCATGAACGCACAGCAAACATAGTGAACCTCCTTTTTCTATAGCCTTTAAGAAATGAAAAGGAGTAGTGACAACTAGTTGGGGAGAATCTTTTTCAAGTCTTTTAAGGAAAGTTGCCTGCAATAAAATAAAGTTTTAACCATTCGATATCGCTTATGAAAACTGATGTATTTAAGTATATGTTCATGTAAAAAACTACCAAATAACTTAAAACGGTCTAAAAACTCACCGCTGGTAACGTGGGCCTGAAAAACACACTTTTGATTTTGACGCAATGAGATAGAGATTTAATGACTTTCTGAGCGCAGAAAAAATAAATATAATAATCTAGAGATAAAACTTCATCAGAACTTTTTTTTTGGAACAAAGTTACTGTTATTATTAAAAATATCAAAATTACCAGCTTTTTGACTTTATCAACTTTAGTCAATATTCAATTTATTTATAAGTTTTGAGTTAAAATCAAGCAAAAGCAAAACAAAATTAATAGTGCAAATCGAAAAAATTTGATAAACTTATGTGAAGGTAATTCAATTAGAAAGTTAAGATTACATATTAAAAACGTTTTTTATAGGAAATACTATCACGAACTCTTAATAAATGAGTAATTTAAAATTAGCTATTCTATACACCGCTGCTAAAAATAATAAATTTATAAAAAAAGTTACCTAAATAGTTATAAGCCGAAATATATTTAGTAAAATATAACAAAAATATAACAGATAATTAATTTAAGTCATAGTAAAAAAAATTGTACAAATAACAAATAAAGTATAAGAATATAATAATTAAGTTCAAATATTTGATTTATAAGGTAAAAAAAGGTTATTTAATCAATTTTAGGGCCTGTTAGTATAAAATCGTTAATAGTAAAGATTTATATAAAAATCTAATTAAAAAAAATTAATAATTTACTGCACTCTAATGGAATAAGTATAGAAAGTAAATATAATTTAAACAGTATATTCTTATATAAAAATATATTAAAGCGCTTTCTCATTATAATAGTAATAAAACAAAGATTAATAAAAATAATTCGAAGATAATAAATTCAAGATGACTTTTGTAAAGAGTAGTAAATAAAAAAAAATTCAACATCCACCTCCCCGAATTATTCCTTTAGCGTCCCACAAAATTACCTAAAGACGCTTACAAAATCCCAAAAAGTTAAATGTGCTGTTCTTAATAAAAGTGCCTAGGATGGGACCAATGCAAAGCGATTACATGTTGTAATTCGAAACAAAAGCTAGAGTAGATTTAATTTTCTTCGCTTTATAAATTTTTAATTGGTATAAAACAGATAAAAAACTAACATAAGTGATGGCATTTTAAAAATTGAAAAAGAATTAATTAAAAATTATAATTAATATATAATATAATTTTAAAAAAAAGCTTTACCGTTACTTGCTCAGCAAGTTCGGTGGTTGGAACAAAAACCAGGCCAAACAGAGAAGATTCGGTGGAAAATTTCTACAAATATAAAGATATAAGTATATTAAAAGAATTCATGGATATTCGTACAAAATAAATTCTTATTTAAAATTAGAAACCTAGAAATCTATATAAACATGTTTATAAAAAACAAAATTTTATTATAATTTTAAAGATGGTGCACAAAAATATAACGCCCCACTGTTAAGATCCTGAAAGCAAAGCAACTTTTATATTATATAAAGCTAATAATAAAAAATAAAACAAACTATATTGAAAAATTATAATAGTTTCAAAATGTTATTGATAAATTCGTAAAAAACTACAGAAAATTATAAATTTCATACAAACTTATAAGAAAATAATAGTTAATAAAGTCATAATCTATGCGAATAATAAAATACTTGCATACACTGAATTTGTATGGACAATTTTTCTATGCTATTAATATATTTTAAACCTCCTTAAACTTTTTTTAAAAATTGTTTTAATTTCAATAACCAAAAAAAAAAAGTTTTTTTAACAAATAAATTTAAATTAGGATCCTCAAGAAAATGCTACTTCAAATCTTACGTTATACCTTTTTATATTCGTCTATAATTGGGACTAAATATGACAAAGTTTTTCCACTCCCTATGAAGATTAATTAAAGTATAAAGCGCTCAACTATAGAAAGAGGAGTAATTTTATCATAAGTGAACCTGTATATAACTTATTTTGATTTATTCTGTAGCTCAAATAAAAACAAACAATTACAAAAGGTAACTTTTCTACTAATTATAATTTTTGTAGAGTAAAATAATTAAAATATAAAAATGAACATAGTCTGCTAAGTTTAATAATATATATGTCTATAGTACCTGGTTCGCTAACCACAAGAACGGAATCTTTTTCTTTAATATAAGGAAATGCTTTCCTCTTCATATATATAGAAAAGTGATAAAAAACCTTTTTTTTAATAAAAGAGAACCTGAATTTCTGTGGGTGCAAGTATATTTATACTTTTTAAACCTTCAAGTAAATCAGAGTGTAAATTTAAAGTTTTAAAATAACGCCTCCACGACCGGGCTGATGGTATATTTATAAAGGTTAACATTATGAAACCTCAAAGATAAACTGTAGTTCCAATAATACTATGATCCCTGAAAAACATAGTACAGACCAGCAAAAAAATATAACGAAAATGTTGTGACAGTTTTAGCATGTTGCTGTGCTTCGTGTATCTCGCGTGTCGTAAAGTTTAGTTTGTGTAGTATATTTTAGACTTAGACTTTCAGGAGTACTGCATTTTTCCGTGTTTTATTTCTTCATCATATATTACAAGCTTGATATGACCAATGTTATGTATAAGGGAATCACTAATTCATTTTGGGCTTTAACTGTAGAGCCTCAAAAAATGTACTCTAAGACCGTTTCGGTTCCTTTTAGCATCACAACAGTAAATTACCTGCTAGTTTTAGTTATTAAGTTTTTATGGATCATTTTTTAAATTTGTAGATTGCACTCAGTTCTCCTTTTAAAGGAACCGCATTTTTATCCGTTCTTGTTAATGATAAAAAGTATTATCTTTGTACTTTAAACTCTAAAGTAAGTCATTTTAAATAAAAGACTTTCCTATACTTCTTTTAAGGCCTTTTTATAGCTTTCCCAGTATACCGTAAATTTTAAATTCGGTACTGGCGAAAAAGTCTCTTTTTTAAGTGAAGGAGCTCCTCTTCCGGTTCATTTAACTGGTTTTACCGAGCAACAGCTTGTGAGTTTTAATCAAAACGTTTCTCAAGGAGGCTGTTTTATAGAAACACCCAAGTTATTGAAGGTGAAACCAAAAACTTATTTTTTTAGTAATAAATATTAATTGTTCAAGTTTACAGATTATACTTTTTATTAGTTAGCAGGTAGTACAAGTGTCGCCTCTGAGGCCAAAAATTCACCCTTGAAACAAGCTAAGAAAAATAACATAGTTGCTCGGAAGACTACTGAACTTGTCAATCGGAGAGATGAGAAAAAAACAAAAGAAATAAATAAAAGGACTAGAGAAGATTTACCTATTCATAAGCGTCCAGCCCCGTTATTAAAGTCACAAAGAACTGTAAGATTTTTACAGCAATAGTGCTGGTGACTGGCGTCCTTTTATTTAGTTGAATATATTTTGAAATAGCTCTCTTTGTGTCACTTTTATGGAATAAGTGCTAAATATTGTCGGCTTAAAATTTTTAACTATAATTCCTTAAATATAACCGTATAATAAGTAGCTATTTTGAACAAACTGCCAAGTTTTTACTTTTTTAAACTTAACTTGCTCAACTGTGGTTTAACTTGAAACAAAGTTTTTCTGTTACACCTTTTAAAAAACCTTTCTTCCCCGTTACCTTAAATTTAACTAGAAACTTTCTGGAGGCACCGTTATTGAAGATATCACTATAGGAGACGGAATGATTGCCCGTCACGGGAAAACTCTGGGTGTCTACTACACCGGCCGCTTTTTAAATAACAGGAAGATTTTCGACTCTTGCCTCAAAGGGCCGGTAAAGCAGTCATATTGCATCATTTGCTAAGGGTAGAGAAGTTCTCATCCTTCTACAGCCTTTTAAGTTTAGGCTCGGGTGCGGGGAAGTCATCAGAGGATGGGACCAAGGCATTGCGGACATGAAGGCTGGGGGCTCGCGGGTCCTTACAGTGCCCCCAACTCAAGCCTATGGCCCACGTGGCATCCCTGGGTCGATTCCTCCTAATTCGACTCTCGTATTTGAAATTCATCTCAAGTACGTTAAATAAACATCCTCCTGATTGGATGAGTTTATTGCATTAACGTGTCGTTACAGGTATGATTACGTAGTGTCAGCATCTTTCCATGTCCTGCTGTGAGTGGAACTTCCAGCGTTGTTTCAGGTCCGTACTCTTCGAAGTCGTAGCCGAGTGTTTTGAACATTTTCTGTAGTTCGGGGTCGGTCGTGGTCAGAATAGAAAGGCAGTCCGTCTTGCTCGGCCAGTACTGGATGTTTTGCAGTTGGCCTTGCGAGTCATATCCTGCGCGGGCCTCGATCCCGCAGTAGTCTCTGTTCATCCGATCTACATAATGTCTTCCTAGAGAGAAACTTCAATGTAAACTCTCACTATAATAGCAGTTTAGTACCGGTTGTGTCCATCTTAGGAGACTGAACAGGCAACTTGTCCACATACATGAAGAGGTGTTTTAAAGCCTTCTCAGCCCAGAGACTCACCAAAGAGTAATTTTTTCCTTTATTAGTCATATAATACAAGACTTAGAATGAACAGTTCGTAATAAGAACCGTTGTAGGGAAAGGAGTAGAGGTTTAGCTGGTGAAACATAAATGGATCTGCTCGGAATTGGAGCCAAGGTGTCGTGGTCACGCGTGCTTGTCTCTCCATGGCTTCCTCAAAACTGTAGTTACCACTTAAGCGACACTCCTCACCAGTCGTCCAGTTACAAGCATCTGTAGGGCGTCTAATAAGTATTGCACCATGCATCATGGTAGCAATTTATTATTCACTAATACTTAGTTGGTTATAGGCCTCCATGTACAGATTGGGCTCGTGAGTGTTGTAGAATATGGCAAGGGCCCACCGGGGGATAATGAGAATGCCTGTGGAATATTTAATTTCAACGTATGGCTTGCCGAACTGAACAGCTGGGAGCTCACCCGGCACTCCGTACTCTTCCAAGGTGGTGTAAATTCCATGGTGCGGGTTGTTTTGGTTTCTCAACTCCTTTCTAGAGTTGTCTCCTATCCTTGGCGGTTAGCAAAAATTAAAACTTAATTGCAAAGATGTGGGCGTATGCGATGATAAAATTTGTAAACCTGTGACAATGTTGATACCGTGAGACTCTAATACGCGTAAAATGGGTGTGTTTTTAGGCAATGCTTTGGGCCTTCTTCCTGGAGGCGGTGGAACCGACTGAGGCCATAAACCTGATATCTCTATCAAAGAAGAGGTTATTAAACAAAACAACTTCACTGTAAAAGCTTTGCGTAACCAGGAGGCACCAGGCTGTGGGGAGAGAAGCGCTCGGTAAGACCATCGGGGTCTCCTCGAAACATAACATTGTCTGTAGAAGTAATATTTAATAAAGGTTAGAGTCCCTGTTATTCATGACGCTTGCAGAAAAACCAGTAGTGTCGTTCTGTCCTTTGAGCTTGTATGCTGGATATTCACTGGCATATATTAACTCTCCTTTAATTAACTTGAGATTAAACTCTATCTCTGCCGCCATCCTATCCGCTGAATTTTATTAATTAGTTTACCTTTATAATAATATAGCCACTAGTAGCGGTTTTAGGCAAAAAATATAAATCCAATAATAGTAAGAATAAAAAGATCGTGATAACGTGAAGTCTGGCAAGTGTATTCCCGGCCACCGCATTCACTGGGCCCAAGCCAGTCGAGGTTCTATTAAGAAGTTATGACTAGAAAAAAAGGACTATTCAACTAATGGGGATGACCTGGTGATCCCAGCAGTGTGTTACCCAGTTGAAGTAATGTTTATATTTTTCTGACTCTACTGCTATACTTGAACCGTAATTCAAAGCGCTATTATTTATTTAGCAAAAGATTAACTTTACAGTACTTGTTTTCACATAAAAATGTAAACCTATAACCCGCACCGTTGTATGCCAATTCGACTAGAACTTCTGAACCAGGAGGTAGTCTGCTGCTGAGATTATAAAAACTCAAAGCCGCTAGAGCTACAGATTCGGGGTTGGCTCTCAGAGATTTTGTGCTATTATACAACTCGGTTTTCAAAAACCAGTCATCAATGTGCATCTGACAGTAAAATCTTCTTTTCCCAAGATAAAGGCCTACAAGAAGAGTACATTTTTAAAGAGACTTACGGGAAGTGTATAGAATCTGCGAACCTTTAGTAGACCATTGAAACCAAACGTTTGCCATCGCTAGATTTAAATTAGTGTAGTTGTACTTTGTGATATGCCTCAATTCCCCTAAAAAGTACAAATAAGAAGTTTTAAAAAGCTATATTAAGAATAAAAGTGCACCAAAGTCACTGGTTTGATCAATTTCATGGAAATTAGCGTCGTACAAGAAGTGCAGTTCTTCATAGCCTCCAGATGGCTTGTACACTGCAGCTAAAAGATACTCTTCTAAGATTTGTATTTTACTATAGAATTTCTGTAGAGTTTTAAAGCATCTCTTTACCCGGACGAGCCGACACATTCAGTTGACTTTTTAATAGCAAAACAGGCAAAAGGGAGGAAGAATTTACTATATAGACGGGATTGAAATCAATTTGGCTTTTGTTCAAATACCAGAAGCATTTGTGACATACAATCCCTGAAATTCCTAATATGAATAAGAGTTTATTTCATTAAGTACGGGAGTTTAGTATATAAGAAAAAGAATATTTAAGATAACTCACCAGATTTGATAGCATTTTCATCGAAATGTAGAAACCCGTCTTGTACATTGTAGGTCTTCAGTTCTTTAAAAAGGTTATAAAATAAAGCACAATACTTGTAAATATAAAGTAGGGCTTGATGTCGATAATAATATTATATTATTATAAGGGCGTTGAGGTTAGAAACAAAGACAATATTATTTTAAATAATTTATATATAGTTATAAACAAAAAGACTTTGAGTCTGATAATTTTTATAAAACTTTAAAGTAATTTAAGTATAAAAGGTAAAACGATGCCAAGGGGGGCTGAGGCGCTAATGTAGATTAAGAGCCTGCAAAGCTTTGTCACTTAAAAAATGAAAAAAAATGTGAGTCTTCCAAGTCTGCCAAAATCATAACCCAGCTATATTCAACCTCTGAATTACTTACCGACAAGTTAAAAACAGTTTTATTCATCACCGTTATTATTATTATTATATATAATTGACGTTATTCGCTAAAAATTTATAAAAAACTTTTCCTTTTATAAAATAACAACAAATAATAAAGGAACCTAATATATAAATGGAGGTAAAAATAAGTGGAAATGAGTGAGGGAGGTTGCTACAAATACAGACTCTAAACGAATGTACAATTTTTTAATAATATCTGTATTAAAAGTTTTATCCTAGAAATTATTATCTTTACGAAAACAGTGAGAAATTATTCAAAAACACTATAAAAATGAAATACCTCAACTAAACTTTGACCACTACAACTACAACTTACAAGATTTAACTTTGTTTTATTAAATATTCGTATTAGTAGTTTTATATTAATAAAATAAGGCAACTCCTATAAAATATTGAAAGAAAGGATTTAATAAAAATTTTCTTTGATAATAAAATAGCCTTTAAGCAGAAGCACTTTATTATTTTAGTGGGCGCCTCAGTTGCCGTTTAAGAAATATCAGAAAGAACTAACACGCAAAGAACACCAAAAGGGGCAATTTAACGTAAAAACACCAGCAGTTATATTATTCTCTATAAATATTAATGAAATGCAGCTCTTAGCTCTTAGTAATAAGTGTCTTACACCCTTAATTGTCCACCTCTCCCCGCCCTCTTTCTCTCTGGAAACAACATGCTCTATTGTAAGGATTAACTGAAAGCATACCTGAGGCTAAGGCTTACCGTAAATAAGAATAATTTATAATTATAATAGGTGCTTAAATCATAGATAGTATAACCTTACCCCCACCCTCGAATATAAGTAGTAAAGATATTATTATATCAATGAGTGTAAAATACTCTACTTATCTCACAACTATTTTACAAATAATTATGTTTTAAGGTTTTAGTAGTTGTTAACTTGCCTGGTATAAAAGTATGGGTAGAATATAAACTGACAAGACGAACTTGATACTTTTTAGTGTAGTCTCTTAGTATAGTCCATTCCGCTTCACTGTGAAGTTGTGGATTAAGGTGGATTAGGGGTATTAAGAGAAAAGTATAATTCTTGGAAACCTTAAAGCTTCTGCTTTGGTAATAACTATGGAATTATATAGGGCAGCTCCCTCGAACTCAAGTTGAGGTACATAAGAAGTAATCTATTCATTAATTTTGAGTTTACCCAGGATTCTGTATTATATCCCTTGTTTTTTTAAAATATCATTAAAAACCTCATATCGAGTCCCCACGCCCAATAAATAGTATTTTGATATTGGTAGGTCCGAGCTGTTTTTTGAGATAACTAAAGTTTTTAAAGCTACAGAGTAACTAAGGCCTTGGGGATTATTTTTGCAAGAAAAAGTTTGGGCACTAACTACCAATGAAACTATCCACAAAGCCAACAGCACATGATTAAAATTTAAAATCATTATTAAATTGCCCTTTCATAGTTTAGAAGCTTATAAACTCAAAATATATTAACTATAATATGAGGCCTTGTTACGATATATTAATGCAAATTTTAATATGGTCTAAGCAATCAATTCTTGTTTGTTTATAAATAAATTCCTTTATGAGTATCACGTGTCTAAATTAGTAAAGAGGTGTATCCTATCACTGGTAAAGGATTATATGTGTCAGTTAACGAAAGTATTGGGAGAAAATATTCTGGAAGCTAATAAAAATTATACAAACTAGAGAAGCAATTTTTTTAAAACTTTTTGCTAAGGCGCTCTAGTAGGCTCACTGTACACTCTTTTTGATTAAATACCTTTTTCGCCTGCCTTAACCGTAAATATTTAAAAAAAAGACACTTTAAATTTAAATTTTTTAATTATGCAAAACTACTTTTTCCGTAGTTTTGACTGACTAAAAAAAAATGTTTAATAACTTATTTGTAATACTTTTTCCTGGTGTTTTATGTATAATGAGAATATTAAGTATATACTTTCTTTTGTTTCGACCTTTTTCTTAGAATACCATGTAATAAGAAATTAGCTGAACGTAAGAAATTTAAAATATGAATAAATAGATTAACTAACGCTTTAATTAGAAGAAATGTAAAAAGTGATTTTTCTTTATTCTTTGATTGTAAAATATTTGTATTTGCGCATCATTGTAACAATGAAATGCTTTATTTGGATTTAAAAAATTAAAGCTTGTTCTACTTGCAAAAGTGGTTCAGTAATTGTTTTTTTAGATACTCACTTCAGTTCATTGTATTTTTATCACTGTATCTTTTTTGTTTTTAGAGAACGTCTTATACCAAGCCTCTTGGTTCTGAACCTACCGCAATAAAAATACACAACTTTCTAGAGCCATATTAACTATGGTTCTTTTTTTTTTTTTATTAAGGTAATATATTTTATAAACTTAATAGCTAGTTTACAATTGCTAAATTTAGTAGCATCATAAAAATGTTATATGGTAAAAGTTCAGAGCTAGGGCTCCAATTCCATTCCCCTCCCCTTTCGCTTTACTAAATGAGTGCCGCACTAACAGCTATTTAAAAAATCTGGTTGGCAAAAAAATCATTAACAGCATGGTTTAATGTAAATGAGTGCTACTTCTTAGTCATATCAAGGTACTTATTTTTGAAAACGACCATCTTTATAAAAATGCTACACACAATATTGTTAAACGTATGTTGACAAAATTTTGCGGTGTCGCCTGTCTTTTTAAATATTTACAAAATAAAAGTTTTATTGCTTTATTATGGTATTTACTCACGCAAAGCATTTGTGTACGCTTTGTCATAACACCTGTATAATAGTCAGCTCTGATTCGCTTTAAATATACTGCTTACATCCTCTAAATGTCATAATAGAAAATACTTTGCCCAGAGAATATCTAAGTAAATTATATAATGCTGTGATAGTGTTTGCTAGGCCCAGGCTGTTTCGCAAACTCACAAGTAACATTACGAAAAAATTGTGCTCCGCCACTCCATCCACCCTTATTAAATAGAAGCTATATCCAAAAATAGAGAATTCACACGATGCTTCCATCAACTTACTAAATAAAATTTAACTAATAAACCAGTTAAATAATAGTAAAGGAAGTTACTAACTGTTCCTAACAAATTTTTTCTTTTTTTTGGTCAAGTGTAGGACCATTTTTGTTGACACAAGAAGGAAAAAAAGACTTATCATGTACATGAACTTATATACAACTTTCTTTTTTTTAAGTGAAATGAAATCTCTTTACTAAAAAATTGTACTTTAATATCTATTAATTAGTTTTGCTTCTTATCATTTTAAGATAATTTTTATATAAAATATTAAAAAGTTACCGTACTAAACCACTAGCAGTTAAGCAGCCCTCGGTAAAGCTCTTAGTATGCTTTAAAAAAGGACCATGTTCGCATTCACGAGGTAAAGGGAAATCTTTCTTAAGGAGTTCCTGTAAGCATTTTTAAAAAGTTGTTTGGGTATTAGTTGCAGTGTATGCAGGTTGGAGGCAGGCCTTTTATTTCCTGGTTTATAAGCACTTGCCATACCCACGAAGTACTGCTGGTGGGGATTTAAGGAATAGTTTATATTTCCATAGTATTCCTTCAAAAGGCTCGCAGCTCTCATTTAACCATATTACTGTTTTTTAATTATCAATAAAGGCCTGTCCTTCCATATATCGTCTCTTAAAAGAACGTATTTTAACGATAAGTCCTTTAATAAGAAGGGGAGTATCAACTCTAGAGGATTTAAAAATAGTCGCGTGCTTTAAAAACTTGACGACGGGAGCCTTCACAGATAAAGGATAGAGGTAACACTTTAATCCAGGAATACCAGAGTAGCTGTTAGGACTCTTTATATCTTACACCTGCCTCCGTAATGCGGACGCCCACTGTTTGGCATGGTGGGGAATCTAACAAAAGAAAAATGGAGGGTGAGAGCCTTTCAGTCAAGCGACTTTTTGCTGGTTGAACCCCTGATGTCGATAGATCTTTAAACTCTTCGCAGTTCAATTCCGAAAAAATTCCTCTTAAAACTACATTAAGTGCTTTCTCTTCAGGTAGTTGACAGGAGTAAAATTCATTACTTCTTTAATAAGAAGAGTTTGTGGCTACCCGAAAGTCGTCAGAATTAAAAGGAAAACTTTAAAGTGATTTCGAGTATCCCCTGAGGTTTAGACGTTACTACCTAATAAAAAGAAAAGTACTTCAAGCCATATATGCTTTTCACGTATAACATTGAGAGGATTGTAACTACTTTTGGGGATGTTGTTACTAGTATTGTCGCCGGTGGTGGCTTTAATGTTATTTTTAGAAGTGTTGTTACTACTGTTACTGCTCTTAGTAAAGGGGGTATAACTGCTTTCTTTCAAAACTATGGGGACTCACCACTATAATTATATTTATTACCATCGTTATTGTTACTAGAATCGTTATTATTACAACCACAATTTTTATTCTTATTATCAATGGTGGCAACTTCGACTTCATCTACGGCGAGAGCGCTGAGAAATTATTGGAATTAGGATTTTCCATAGTTCAAAGAACCGCCATTTCGCTTTTCAGAGCAATAAACCAGAGTTCTTTACTTTACCTTCAAGTTCGGAATCTTTTTGTCTGCAAAAACTAATTTTTGTTGTTAGATCTGCTATGGCAGTTAATAACTTGAACACCATCTCGGGTGAATAGTGTCTTGTCATGGTTAAAAGTTATATATATATAAAACATTATTGTAAGAATATAAAGAAAGTAAGAAGAAAAAAAAAGAGTTTCGTGTTATATAAGTATAAAGAAAAATATTTATAGCAAGCCCGTCTCAGAAAAATCCCCCCCTTCATTCCTCCTGTTGTTACCCCTTTATTTTATTTTCTATATATTACCAGACATACTATCGCCAGGCCCTATAAAAGAGGTTCTAATACGCTGGTTAATCAGATCTAAGCGGGCACCAATGCTCATCCGAAGGAGCTTACACTATCATGACCATCCCGAAGAACTATAAAAGCAGGGAAGATCGGGGGTAGGGCCAGAACTCCAGCCATTCGGAAAACCGCTAACCCCCACTGAAAGAAGCAGTTTTAGGCCCGAGGTCCGAGGCCACCTGGAGACACCGGCCAGTACCACTTTCGGCCAAGGCCTCCCCGACTATCAGCTCTTCACCCAAAAAACAGGAGTCTCTTTCTGTATAATACATACTTTACAAAAATAAACAAAAGATAAAAATGCAAAATTTCTAGGTTAACTAATCACTAGGACATCCCTCTATTATATTTTTAAAATTAAGTCGGTGAAGTAAACTCTAAACCTTTAAAGGTAGTAGATTGGTAAGAGCTTAATTTGTTGAAATTTTTACACTAGTGTTAACCCTCACAATGGGGGCATGTTTAATGCCTCCTCTTAAAAAACGTCTCGAAATCGCGGTTTATTTAATCCTTTTGAACTGTGAAATGAAAAGTTAGTCCGGGTGTTTGTATAACTGGCAGAAAAAATATTATCACATTCTATTTTTTTTAAATCTTTTTCTTAAAAGGTTAAACAGAGATGAAATAGATCTGTTTCAAATTTTAAAAATAATTTTTTCACTTTTGGGTATTACGATTAGACTATGTGTTGCGGGGGTTCTATTTTAGTTGTATTTTCGTGACTTTATAAGTTCAGTAGGGTGAAACCTCTGGTGTTCCAAAATCTTCTTGGATCTCTCCTACATCCATCTTCTTTAAACACGGAAAAAGACTACTTTAAGCTTTTTGTCGGACGGGACCGATTTATACAACATCCAAGAAATTCCAAATCTAGGAGAAGTAACTTTCTAAGATATCATTCTAAAGAAGCGAAGAACGTGTCCTCTTTGAACATTTAAACGTTGTCTAAAACTTGTACCGCGGCATAAGAATTAAAATTTATGGGCCAAGAGTAGTCTTAAGTCTTATTGACTCCTTCCGCTTTCTTAAAATAAAATAGTCTTTCATAATTACTTTTTCCTTGTAACTTACTAAATTTCGCCTTAAGCAACTCTAACTCCTTTGTCAAAGGGGCGCTCGTAGCAAATTGACTGGTGATTAATTGTTGTTGTATATATATGCGGAAGTAGTACCCTTAACGACCGTTAATAACAAAATAAATAAAAATTATTATTTAAAAAGTTCATATAGTTATATGCAAAACAAATAATTAGTCATTTGATAGATATATATGTTAGTTGGTTAAGAAGTTAAACAGGGGAATGGTTAGCAAAAGCGATGCAAGTAAAAATAGCAAGTTGTGCAAAACAAGAAAAACAGTTATAAAAATGAATCTAAGTGCGCAGGCCACATTCATGTTTTCTGTAGTTGATTGAAAAAAAAAACTTTATACCTCTCTAGCAAACTGTGTGGTCTTTAGATTATATTATAACCGGTAAGCCAGGTTAGTTTGGTGTATAAGTTTAAGCTACACGTTACGCAGAAATATACAAATGTACTAATGTAAAAGCTAAAGTTTAAATAGGTCACCACAGGCAAGTAATAGAGCAACCGACCATTCCTTTATAATAAAATAGTGTAAAAAAGCTATAAGTAAACGAGATAATTCCTAAAGAGATCATATGTTTTCTTGTTAATTATAAAACACACCTTCAATGTCAAATACTAAACCCAAAAAAATTAGAAAATAAATATTTCTACATAAAAAGTTTGGTGGATAGAATAACCTATGCTTTTGACGTAAAAATTCATATAGCATGCGCTTCTGTAAAACTATTTTGAAAAGATGTAGACAAACTTGTTAAATAAGAAACCGCTGAAATATTTTAGGAGAATATAGTTTATTGGGCCATAATGCGAAAGTACAGTAATCATATGTAGATCCCCAGTAAAAAGGAGACCTTTTCTATAGTACATTAAAGAAAGTCACAAGTAAAAGAAAACTTCCAAAAGAAACGCTGTGCTGTCGGTTGAGCATAGAACAAATACGAGGCCATGCCAATGCTACCTATAAAATAGTAAACTTATAAGGCTACGTGAATTTTGCTGGCATTCCATACCTTTAAAATCACGAAAAATTCTTTAAAAACACTCTTAACCCTTTTAGCTAATTATGTTAATAGTTGAGCAATCTCGCAATCCTAAAACTTAAAATACTTTCTCGGTTTCCACAGAGGGGAGCTCCTAAATTCCGTTAAAAATCAAATCTAATTCTGTAAAAAACTTTAATAAAGTTTATTCGTACTTTTTTTCTCGAATCTCTGTTGATTTAGAGCGTTGTAGCCTTCGGGTTAACTCCTTACAGGTTACAGGTAACTATGTTTACCACTTGTCGCCTAAGTTCAATTTGCGAGAGTAGGTCAATGGAAATTGTGACTAAACGACAGTCTCGGGCCTCTGAAACAATCTTTAGTGAGCTTGAGTACCATGCTCTAAAGGAATTAGCCGCAGCCAACATACTATAAGGTAGTGGTAAATTTAGTTACCAGTAAAACGTAAAACAACTCTATTTTAAACTCTAGTTTGCCCCCTAAAGGGTTGAGCACTATTCTCATTTATTCTAGATTAATATTTAAGTAATTTATTCTGAACTATCTTTATTACTGTTAAAACTATTTCTTTGATGTATAAAAATTTATGTAATCTATCCTTATTTTATAAGAAATATAAAATTATAATGAAACACGTTAAAGTGAATTTTAAGTAAGCTGAAATAAACTATTTTTTACTCACCATGTTATTTAAACCAAAACAAAGAAGCAATAGCATAGAAGCCATAAAATTTTTTATAAATAAATTTCAGAAATGACCTACTTTATCACGTACTCTAGGCTATGCGTTGTCATGTCACTTAATTGTTTAAAAGCGTAGTTAGTAATAATGTACTTTACTATAAGCACTAAAGGTTATAGATGTTGTAAATAAATTAAAAAAAAAAAAGAAAACTTAAAGATATATTTAGCTTAACAGTTAAACAGGGAAAGTAGAATTGAAAACATGTCGGCGTGCTTATACGCTTAGTAAGACTTAGCATGTAAAAAAATTATTTCAGCATGCGACAATGCTGTATTATTTTTTTTTAAAATTATAAGAAAGAGAACTTTTTATAATACACAGAAAACTCTTTTTACGAATTGTGCAATTTGTTGGAGAGGCGTGTGCCTGTGTCCTTAATAGAAGAGCCTGTAGGCAGGATACATACTTTTTGAGTTTGGTTGCCTTCTTTCTTGGAATTTAACCTACACGTGAGCACTCTTTTAGTCCCCTTGTTGGCTTATGACTCCTATGCTTCACAAATAGTATAAAAGTGTGTGGAGGAACGTGTGCAAGTGTACCCAATAGAAGAGTTTGTAGAAAGAATAAAAATTTATGATTTGGTTACCTTCTTCTCTGGAATTTAAACTACATTTGGGCATTCTTTTTGGCCCCCTCGTTGACATAATCATGTTCCTCGTAAGCTTCGTAAACAGTATAAAAAAGCGCATCTTAAACGCTAAGCTTATACCAACAAAGTCCTGCAGAAAAAATAGTGGTAGTCATAGTATTTTTAAAGAAGTTTTGGTTCTAGTTTCCCTTTTCATTTATAGGTTTTTCTGGGAGGGAAGAAACTGTCAAGTTCCGCAAAAAATTGATTTATAGGGCCCAAGTTTTTGATAACTTAAACGATTATGACTTTTATGTTTTCTATTGCCTTCCTCGTATTTTTAGGCCTCTATGTTAAAGTTAGTTTTTTAACTCATAATTTTTGTTCGTATTTTTTTTTAACTATATATAAGATTACAAATATCTTTTAAATAAATTATAAATAATATTAATGTATGCATAAATATATTTTCAACACCCATTTTAACACTTAATTCTCGTACCTTTATAGTGATTTATTATAATTTTATATTTTTATCTAAGTATACCCATGACTGCATCATGCTATAGTCAGTTTTTGGGCTTCACTATACTTTTGCTAATCAAAAATTTTCTTTAAGTTAACAGTTAAAAACTATTTATTTCGGTATTGAATCTGTTACGTAGTTTGTCGCTTACTTATATTACTATCTTATATACAAATATAGTAAATAGTATTTAATTTATTAGTCAAAAATTATTATTACTGGTATTTAGTATACCAAATTATACGTTAATGCAATATCAGGTGCAGGGTTTTTTTAGTAACGCATTAGTAATTGCACTATAAAGTATTAAAAAAAAATTAATTTAAAGCAGGTTATGCCGGCTCCTAGTCCGTCTGAAGAGGTATCTAAATAACTGTTAAGTCATTTTTCATTTTGTTTATGAAAAAGTGTAGTGCAATAGTTTATTTCAACTTTAATGCTACGCATATTATTTTATAAGAAACGTATTAACGTATTAATACTGCTTAAAACATTTTAGATGAAATACTTTATATTCGTGGACGCAGGCAGTACGGGGACCCGAGCGTACTTGTACCAATTGGTTTTCGTTCTTTTTATTAATTTCTATAATTTTTCATTAAAATCTCAACTTTTCGATTAGCCCCGAAATTATAAACTCTTTCAGGATCAGTTTTTTATCACCTCATTACCTTTTCCTATTAAAGAGAGACCGTTTACTTCGGATCCATCCGGCACATGTTAACTTAATCCTTAGTTATTATATATATATAAATTATTCTATCGTTTTCCAGTTCCTATTGAAGAGTATGTATGGAGTGTTACCAAAGATCTCCTTGAAAAAATAAACGAAGACTGGTCATTAAGACGTTTTGGACCGATGTCGACCTTCATTTTTTTTTTATGTCCAATATTTTTAAAAAGTAAATAATTTTTATAGCCCTTTGTATATTTTCGGTACGGGCGGGCTACGGTCGTTATCGCCTGTGAACCAAAATAAGATTACTGAAGTATTGATACATTCAATAATTTTATTAATCTTGAAACTATTGTTATAACTTATGTTAGAAACTTGTGAATGAGCTTACCAACTATAATGGCTTTAATATTGATGGTGTTCATATTAAAGTTATTAGTGGGCAAGAGGAAGGTTATTTAAATAGTATTGCATTAAGGTTTCTTTGGTTTTCTTACTTAGTTAATATATATATATAGCTCTTTATGCCTGGATTACTGCTAACTATTTAGATAAAAAACTTAACAAAGAGCTCACTGTGGGCGTTTCAGAAATGGGCGGATGTGAGTGTTAATTTATTTGAGTTAAAGAAATATGCTGAATTATCATTAACCATGTACAGCCTCACTTCAACTCGCTTACCAAGTTAAAGATGTAAAAGGAAGCCCAGACGTACTTTATCAATATTTATGTTAACTTTTTTTAAAAAACTTTTTATATATAATTTTTAATAGAATATCGTCCACTTAAAGTTAGGTTCTGGTCATAAGTAAGTAACCTATTTTCTGTACATTATTTATTGGGAAACACATTATTCAGTCTCCCTTTAAAGGAGGAAATAGTTTTACTGCTTATTATATGGTTTACATATTCAGCATTGATAAATACATCATTTAAAATTATTATTTTTGTTACCCGGCGTTTTACTTAAACGTTTTTAAGCTACCACGTGTTTACCGCCTCCTTCGACGATTATGGCTCTGATAGTGTATATAATAAATATGTTCAAGCATTAAGTAATCAACTTAAAGATGAAGAAGCGAGGTTTGTTCATTCCATTCCGTGCGAATAATACTATGATCTATTAATAACTATTAAAAAAGTTACTGTTTCCCACCTGGTTTTAACTTCACCGAAGGTTTATACATCCTTGCAAAATTTATTATATATCTGAAATAGAAAGTTGCTCGCTTTATTAAACAGAACAATCAACTAAAAGCGTTTCAAAAGACCCCCAGGGAAATTTTGAGAACTGTAGCCGCAGCTTAAAGAGTATTCTTGACTTAAACTGCATTCAGGCACAATGTAATTTTTGTTAATATAACAATTTTGCAACCCTTATTTTTTTTTTTGAAGGCTCCATCAATGGTAAAAGTCTTCCTCCCTTTGATGCCAATATGAAAATCTATGGATTAGCGTCTTTTTATTATATTACTAACGATTTTAAAGCTTATGATGAAGGTAATATTATTACTACTATATCTTTTTATCTACTAACAATTTTATGATATAGATAATAAGCTAAATAAGAGTAAATTCGTTGACGAAGCCACTAAATATTGCAGTACTCAATGGGAAGAAATACAAAAAATGAGTACTTTTTTAACAGCCGTGACATATAGCTTGCTTACCCCTATATATAATAGCAAAAATTCGATATCGTGAAAAAACGTGTTTGAAGGCGAGCTATATTAACCTGTTGCTTGAGAAGGGCTTTAAGTAATTTTTATTTACATTTTTCGTACTGCTGGTATTAACTAGTTATTATACTCTTAGCATTACACAAGGAGCAGAGTTTTATACAGTCCAGAATGTTAATGATCTCAAAGTGAGTTGGACTTTGGGAGCTTTACTTCACGCACTTAATGCTGAAGATTAACTAATGTTTAAAGCAATTACCAACTGATATAAACTTCCTATAACTTCGGCGTTGTTTATCATGCGCTTATGATATTGCGATAGGAAATAGTACGCTAAGGTTATTAGAGTAATAGTGACCAAAGCATTGAACGGTTATAAAAAGTTGCAGGTGGCCAGTCTACGTTGTTAACTGCGGTAAACTCCACCCACAAGGACTTCAGTTGTTTCCGCTATAACTTGCATTTATTTGTTCTCCGCATGATCAGCACATAAGGAATGCTTTTTTGGGAGCGTTTAATATTGTAGATAACGTCTGTCTGCTGGTGACTAAGATCAACGGTTTTTAATAGTATCGATCTATATTATTTTAGATTATGATCATTTCTTACTTGGTCTTATCGATGTAATAATAATATTAGCGTCTATTTAGACCTTTTATTTGTTGCTTTTATAAAACTTCAGTTTTCATGCCATTCATTTTATTCTACCTAGTTCTCAATGACATGAGTTAAAGCCTTTTTATTTAAAATTAATTGAAAATTAATATAGTTATATTTTAGGTTATAAATTTTATAATAAATCAGTAGGGACTTTGGAGACTAAGACGATTTTGCCTGGTACATATTTAATATTTTAAGTTGTTCTTGTATAGATGAGCTTAATAACAGTGGTAGTGTTTAGCTGCAACTATCAACTAAACAATTAAAAAGTCACCAGAACTAATATAGCTGACCTTGTTATAAATAGTGTATATTTCAAACCTAGCCTCTTATTTTTTTAAACCACAGAAATTTGGTTTCCGTATATACGATAGATAATCCCCGCATTAATATTTACATAGTACTAGCTAACAACCTTCCTAAGCGCCTTTAGTAAACGATAAACTACCAAGGCGGATCGAATACAACAATGCTATACAAGTACAATCCGCACAAAGCCCGTTAATTAGCCAAACTGGCATGCTACTTCCTGTGATTGAACTTGCAGCTCGGGAAGACAGCATGAGTATTGCCAGAACATCACAATTATGTGTATCTTTCTCTCAACTCTTTCGTCCTTGATTTTGCTTCTAGTTTTATTCATAACTCAGCTGCATTCATCAACTTTTTTATGAACTATATAGCATTTCACGTTTCCCGCACGTAGTTTTAAGACGCTGTTCCTTTTTATTAGGTGAAAATTATGACTGTCTACACGAGTGATATAGACGAATACGAAGGATTCTATAAAGTAACCTTATCGAAAACTTAAAATAAATGTATTACTTAGGGGAAAGATTCGGGTACACTACAAATAACTAATATTTATAGCCAGCATTTGTGCATGTGCTTAGATCATCGGTGCCTCTAAGCACCAATTGCTGAATCTGTTTTCCGAGGCAGGGCCCCCAGTCTTAAAATTAGCATGTAACGACTTTAATTTTGTATAGCTTCTTGTGCTTGTTCAATAAATACGGTAGCCCCCGAGCTTAATAATGGTTTGTGTCCAGTAGTGGTTAAATGCTTTTGGCTTCTATGAAAAAAGTATCTACAATACGGGCTACCTTAGGCTCTGAGAGGGTGTCGTTGCGCGCAAGGTAGTGCTCCCCAACTAGTTGCCGCAGTAATGTGTTTTGTCATACTAGCAGTGCGCTGCTACAATTGACGGAACCCCTTCAATGCCAAAGCGAGTGAAGCGTAGATCGTAATAGAGGGTTTACATGTACACTGGTCGATACAGTTTTTTAAATAGGTACATCCTGATATTTACATGGCACAGTGTAACCAGCTTGTGTTCCTTCATTTACTTTGCTGCATTGCGTGAGTCTCGCGGCTGGCTGCGGCCGATGACGATGCTCAGGCCCCCTTTAGAACGTTTAAAGCTCTTAGAAGACTTTTTTGACTAATTATGTGTTTTTCTCCTTAACACATGAACCGTCTGTCTCATGATGGACATAGACTGATTTTAATACAAAGCACCCCGTTAAGTAGGTGTTGAAAGCAGATTTTATAAGCAAAAAAGAAAAAATCTGTCTAATCAAGAAACATTTTGCAAGAAGACTAGTACTCAGCAAGAAACTATAGTGAAAGTGTTTTATAGTATTTCACTTCTTTTTTTAGGAAAAAGAAGTTTATTCTAGAGCTGAGGAAATAGTGAAATCACGTTAAAATTTTCTTGCTATTAACTGTAGCAGATCCAAAAATTATAACAAAGGTAGAACTTATTGCCCTTTCAAGAAGACTGTAATGAGAAGAATCGAAGAAATGGCAGATGAAGTTGGTAAACAGATGCTTTAACGTATGACCGCATGCTCTACCATTTCTCTTGCTTTGGACGAGAGCAGCGAAGTATTTGTATAGGATGTGTCAGCGAACAATTCCATAGCACAGAACTTCTAGATATGGGGCAGCAAGTTTCCAGTAGAAAAGGTATTTTACGTGAAATTAAAGATTTGATAATCGCCTATTAAACTGGGACTAATATGATAGTGTTTGTTTTGTACAGGTGGAGCTCCGGCGATTATCGGGAGGGTAAAAGGTTTTTTTTTAAATTTTGTTGGAAGGATTTTTAAAAACCTAAAGTTTTTAAATACCACTGCTTTACTTACCAAGAAGCCCAAGAAGCTCTCTGTGCCAAGGCTATCAACTTTATTTCTGTTCTTATAATCCTGTGATACGATGTGCCATCCACATTGGATCCAGGGCTCATGATGGAAGGGTTCCTTTTATTTCTTCTTAATCGTTCAAAGGACACCATCACATTGCAGTGTTCCCTGGCTATCTCGGGGTTAAACCTTAGAAAGGTTTTGGAAATTATGAAATTTAGTTTTGGGATATTTAGTAGAGAGAAAAGAGTGATCCCCCGTCTCCCAGATAAGTGCTCACCTCTCAGAAATAAAGGTTGGTTGTGGGATCTAGCTTTTGTGACAGATATTATGGGTCATTTAAATAATTTAAATAAGCGTTTGTAAGGCAAACTAATTTTTTTTTTTCCCGACCTTGCTCGGTTTGGTTCAAACTTTCAAATTTAAACTGACACTTTTGAAAGGGCCTTTGCGTAAAGGTGGACTGCACCATCCCACTCGAAAGCAATAGTTGATGGTAGAAACAAAAATGCTGTCTTCACGAAGTTTAAAAAAAAAGTTTTACTTTTGAAAAAATCGTCTGGAGAGAGATCCATCGATAGTGCTTCCCAAGACAGTTTATTAAATTTTACTTGAATATGCGCTCCGCTACTCTTGTAGATTTGGCTCGGACTAATACTTGTGACCAAACAATTTTCAACTACCGATGTTTATTAAAAATAAATATCTCGCAATATTAACCGACGAACAATATAAAAAAAATCTCATTCTTCTTGGGCCCTCACAAGTAGATCCCAACATTGGGAAGCTGACACATAGATGAAGCAAAATCATAGGCCTCATTATTGTTCGAGTGCTAGTTTTTTCTTAATAATTTAAATAATTGCATTTTTTTTATAACATAAACGTACCCAATGACCAAGTGATCTGCGTATGATAATGTGGTTTTTGGTAGATTATAGTAGTAATCTAATTTAAGGAAAAGTTCAAAACAAACTAGGATAATGTTTTGTAAAAAAAATCTCTTGCCTAAAAAGTTTAAGAAGCAGAAACTTTTTTCCTGTTATTCGATTCAGATGAAGTGGTAGGGCTGGGATGCCTATGCAATATGTTTCAGAAGAATGATAGTACAAGTGTAAAGTTTGAAGTTGTCTATTTGAATAAGTAATCAAGTAGATCAATTTGACACACTACTAGCTAAATATCACACAGTTGGTTCTAAAATGGTGTGTTTAACCATAATGAAACTAGGGCGCGTGTTACTGGACAGTAATATTAGCTGGTCAAAGGAAATTGGCGGAAATTGTTAGTGCCATGCGAACAATTGACTTCAGAGAGATATCCTGATCTTTATGCTTATTGTACTCTTTAATTGACGAAATTTGGCCAAAGTTGGTGCTTGTTTCCTATATAGCACCACATAGCATAGCACAGCATAACAGAATATGATGGTTTTTACTTTAGAAAGATACCATAATCAACTTCGCTGAGGAAAAAATCCCAGTTCATGTTTTAACGCAAATTACCATTTTAGACAATTTTTACGATTATTATATAGATAATTTCATTGCATAGGGGTTAGTATATAATGAAGGTTCACGAAAAATAAACCGGCAGACATTTTAATTTTTTTTTCAGTGTTTTTTTTTTTTTTTTAGCCACATCTGTACATATCTATATATATGTACATTTGTTGACAATTGATTTTATAGAGCTTAAAGGTTTAGCTACCGACCAACAGAGGTTTAAATACCAGTCAGTAAAGGTTTAAATACTCTAACAAACTTAAATAATGTATTATTCAAGTGTAATTTATATAAAAGACAATATAAAGACACTATTTGTTTAAACTAGTTGATTTAGTGCTGTTATATACAATATTTAAGCTCCCTGACTGGCATGTGTAAAGAGAAAGAAATATGCATTTGTTTCGCTTCTCCTTGCTGGCGCGTGTCCTGTGTGCTCCTTAACATTTTTATCTTCACTTTTATGCGGGATGCGCGTCGGTAACCTTTTTGGTTGCTGCCATCACGGCGAGATACGCGTCGGCGATTTTTTAAAGAAACATGTTAATGCCCGCCGTCCACGGGTTTTGCTATATATGGTTGCATTTTCTGTTAGCTAGTTTATGAACTTTCGCGGTTGCAATGTACATTCTTCCTGAAAGTAACGGTTGCTTTTTGCCGCCAGGTCTAGGTCGTAAAGCTGCCTAAAAAGATAGACCCTATATATTCATATTCGCGTCTACAGACGCCTTAGTTCTAACGGGTTTCCATGGTTTCGATCTAGCTTACTCGAAAGATTGTCATTCGTTGACGGAACACATGTCTATGAAAGCTCATTACCCTTTGGTCATGTCACCCTCTATGACGAATCGGTCGTTACTTGATCTGAGGCTGAAATGCACCCTTATTTAATCAGCTTCAATAAAAGATTAGCCAAAAACCTTGAAAAATAAATGAAAA